TCAAAGTTGTTAGAGAGAAACTTCTTAGTCTCACTTAATAAACCAAGATCATTAGTTGCAAGCAAGATATCATCAACATATAGAATCAGAAATATAAACTTGCTCCCACTGACCTTCAGATATATACACCGATCAACAGTGTTTTCCTTAAATCCAAAGGACAAATAGTATCATTGAACTTAAGATACCATTGTCGAGAAGCTTGTTTAAGCCCATATATTGATTTCTTAAGTTTACACACCATATGTTCCTTTCCTTCTTCAATAAACCCCACTGGTTGATTCATATAAACATCCTCCTCTAAATCTCCATTCAGAAAAGCAGTTTTAACATCCATTTGATGCAACTCAAGATCATAATGAGCTACTAATGCCATGATAATTCTAAAGGAATCTTTCTTAGAAACAGGTGAAAATGTTTCCTTATAATCAATGCCGTCTTTCTGAGTAAAACCTTTGGCAACAAGTCGGGCCTTGTAACGTTCGATATTGCCATGAGAGTCACGCTTAGTCTTAAAGACCCATTTACACCCAACACTCTTACATCCTTCTGGCAATTCCACAAGATCCCATACACTATTATGTGTCATTGATTTAAGCTCATCTTTCATAGCATCTAACCATTTATCAGAATTATCATCATTAATGGCATCTGAAAATGAAACTGGGTCATTATCAATACTTAGGTCATTTTCTGACTCTTGTAGATAAACCACGTAATCATTCGAAATAGCAGACTTTCTTTCTCTATGAGATCTTCTTAATACTATTTCCTGTGGTTGTTCTATTATCGGATCGTTGTTAATCGCAGAATCATTAATTTGTTGTTCTTCTTGATTGTCGTGTGATTCTACAACATTTGGAACAACAACTCTTGAAGATGTACTAGTTATTGGAACTTGTACTCTAACTTCCTTAATCTCCACATTTTGTGAAACTTCACTCCCACTGGTTTCACCATTTTCAATGAACCGAGCATTTCCAGTTTCAATAATTCTTGTACTATGAGTAGGACAGTAAAACATATACCCCTTTGATTTTTCTGGATAACCAATGAAATATCCACTGATTGTTCTTGCATCCAGTTTCTTTCTTGCGGATTATAAATTCTTACTTCTGCCTGACAACCCCAAACATGTAGGTGTCTTAAACTGGGTTTCCTACTTGTCCATAACTCAAAAGGAGTATTTTGAACCGCTTTACTAGGAACCATGTTCAACAAATACATGGCAGTCTTCAAAGCATACATCCACAACGATACAGGTAAACATGAATTACTCAACATACTCCTAACCATATCCATTAAGGTTCGATTACGCCTTTCAGATACACCATTTTGCTGCGGTGTACCTGGCATTGTGTATTGAGCACAAATACCACGCTTCTCAAGGAACTTAGCAAACGGACCAGGGTGTTGTCCACTTTCATCATATCTTCCATAATACTCACCACCTCTATCTGACCTGACAATTTTTACCTTTCTGTCTAATTGCCTCTCCACTTCGTTTATATAACTTTCTAAGGCATTTACTGCTTGAGATTTCTCATATAGTAAATAGACATATCCATAACGCGAGAAATCGTCAATGAAAGTGATGAAATACTTCTCTTTATTAAAAAAATTTACGTCAAATGGACCACATATATCAGTGTGTATGATTTCAAGAAGTTGAGTGCTTCTTGTGGCTCCTTTCTTTGTGTGTTTTGTTTGTTTGCCTTTAATACAATCCACACATACATTCAGATCAGTAAAATCTAAATCCGGAAGGATTTCATTCTTTACTAATCTTTGCATTCTTTCTTTGGAAATATGTCCCAAACGCTTATGCCACAAATAAGCAGATCTTTCATCCACCAAACTACATTTAGTGCCAACATTATGATGCAAGGTCATGAGAGTTTCAGCATATAAATTATCCAAATTCAATTTATATAAACCATCATAAAGTGTACCAGTTCCAATCATACATGTACGCTTAAATAAACTGAAACAACTATTCCCAAACTTAAAAGAGTATCCAGCAACATCAAGCTTAGACAAAGAAACTAAATTTCTAGTGATACTAGGTACATAAAAAGTATCCATAAGGTCTAAGTGATATCCAGTGTCAAGGATTAAACGATAAGTCCCGACAACTTCCACTGGAACCTTGACTTTATTCCCCATGAAGACGAACTTCTCATTTGGGTTTATGGTTTGGGTTGAAAGGAATCCCTGCATCACATTAGAAATATGAGTTGTACATCCAGAATCAATCCACCAAGTATTATGGGGAACTTCAGTTAAATTTGATTCAAAACATACGTAAGCACTATGCTCACCTTTCTTTTCGAACCAAGCTTTACGCTTTAAGCAGTCCTTCTGAAAATGTCCAGACTTCCCGCAGAAATGACATTTGTCATTTTTCTTCTGAATGTTAGTAGAGGACTCGTTAATCTTTAATGGTCTTTTACCCTTTCCATGTTTCTTAACAACTTTCTTTTTAGCTCCTTGATTTTTCATGTAATGAATAGAGTGGCTTCCTAGGTTCTTGAGTCTGGTCTCCTCCTGAACTAACATACTGTGCAATTCATGCACATTCCATTTGTCTTTAATGGTGTTATAATTCATCTGAAACGGACCATACTCAGGCGGTAACGAGTTCAAAATGAAATGCACAAGAAAATTTTCTTCCACTGCCATTCCAAGAGACTTGAGTCTTGCTGCGATATTTGTCATTTCGATTACGTGTTCATGCATACTACGAGAACCATCAAATTTCATGGTGGTCAACGTACTCATCAATGTCCCAGCGAGGGATTTGTCAGCAGTTTGAGAGCGCTCTTCCACAAATTTCATAAACTCTTTCGCATCCTCAGTTTTGGGAAGAGCAGACTTAATATTGCTTGCTACACTCATTCGCATAAACATAAGGCTAAGTCCTGTTTGATCTTTCCCAAGCTCTATAATGAGTTTTCTCTTCTTTACTACTAGCATCGATGATAGCACTGGTTTTTCAACTTGGAAAGACAAATCAAGATCCAACACACCTAAGTGAAATTGGACTTGTTCACTCCAGATCAGGAAATTTAACCCATTAAAGACTCGGAACAGACGAAGATAGCGAATGCAGAGCTACAGAAGCAGTATACTGCAATTAACACATGCCTAACATTAATACTTTGAGTCATAAAATTAAACATAAATACAGATTCAACCATAAATTACCATTCTCTCGCATACTAATGTTCTCCTTTGGGAGATCCACCAATACACAAACATAATTACGCTAATCATTTTATAACATTAATGATAATTAAAATATGCATCAACTAGAATCACCTAACACCTTTGGGTATATAAATAAAACTAGTGACGCACGAAAATTATCTACCTTCATGCTCATTAATTATAATAACAATTAATCAACCTTTGGGTGATCCTGAAATGTCTTATAATAATGAACTTCAATTAACCCATAAACCAATTATTCATAATTTTAGCGTTTATACTATGGGTAATTGAAATAAAATCATTAATAATTTGAAATTAAAATAACCTTAAAATTTTGGCCACTTTGGTGACTAACAAAATTTATCATACTTAATTTCAAATATAATAATAACTTTAATTGCTATTAATCATTTATAATATTTTCTATTATTTATTTATTTATTTAGCAATAACAAACCATAATTCATTCACGTATCCCATTTTTGCCTCCACATTAACATTTACGTTTCAAATTTATATTGCAATTTAAATCAATTGCAGCAGCCAACACTCATAATAAGACAAATGTCATGGAATTAAAATCAAATACATTCACATTTATTCTCATTTTATGCAACCGGCGCACCTAATATGCAACTGGCGCACGTTGGCGCACCTAATATGCGTCATTTTATGCAACTGGCCCACGTAATATGCAAGTGGCGCGCAGGTAAGGAATCCTAAGCATGTTCACGTTAGCGTACCTAATTAATATGCAACTGGCGCACAACATTTTAATCAAATACATGAATTCCTTCAATCATTTTCTATTACCATTATGTTTGAGATACCTGGCGCCACATAAGGCAACTCCAAACATCTAATCAATCCTCGGTCAAGCATTTACCAATTCATAAATATAAAATCATTTGTTGCATATTAAAATAACTGTACAAAGTCATTCACTCACATTTGCAATTCAATTGCACATTGGGCCACACGTACATGAATCGCTTCAATTGCCCAGGTCCCATCAACTTGATTGCATCATTAATTAATTGCAGCGGAAATTAATTCCATTATAAATTAATTATGCGATCATTGATGCCAAACAGTAAGAAGTCCAAAATAAATTAGGGCTTATCAATTTATTTAATTTTGGAAAAATAAATTATGGGAATAAATTAGGGTTCACGTTAATTGGATAGAAAAAATCCCTAAATTCATAATTAGGGTTTATCTTGATTTGGGAAAAACATAACTTAGGAAAAACTCTCATAAAAGGAAAATCATAAATCTAATAACCTGGCTCTGATACCACATGTAAAACATTATGTAGTTTTCCTATGTTCTTAATTCATGATAGAAAACTACTCTACAGGATCTTTAGATTATTGATTTTCACAATTTTACATACATCAATACATGAATCACAGTAAGAAGACTAACCTTGATCCATGAGAATCTTTTCTTTGATCTTTTCGTTCTCCTATCTCCTTTTCCCAATCTATCTCTTTGTCTTTCTTTCTTTTCTCACGCTTCGCTTTCTTGATGGTTTACCGTGAAAAACCCTTATGGCCAGAGACAGAACCTTAATCCCTTTTATTAACCAACTTCCATCAAGTTGGTTATGTAAGTTAATATTTTATTTTATCTTTATTTTATTCTGACTTCACATAATAACCAACAGGTCCTTATAATTTATTAAATCACATTTGGGCCTATCATTATATTTCATATGAGTCACATAATAGAATGAATTAATTAAATTAATTCTAACAATGTTGACATCTGTATCTTTCTTGGGCATGGAAGACACAACAGAGGAGGCCCTCATATGGGCAACGAGTAACCCTAAATTGATTGTAGCTGCTTCAACTATTGGTAGGCTCACTAATGACTTTGCTGGAAGTGAGGTACTTAGACACACATTGCTTTATATTTTAGTTGTTAGGATTCATGTAAAATTTCTTATGTAGTATTATGCAGTTTGAGCAAGAAAGAGGACACGTTGTCTCAAGCCTTGATTGCTATATGAAGCAACACAATACCTCAAGGCAAAACGCCATTAAAGAACTGCTTAAGTTGGTTGAGAGTGCTTGGAAGGACATTAATGAACAATGCCTTAATCCTACTCAACTTCCAATCACTTTTCTTATGCGTGTTTTGAACCTTGCACGCACGATGGATGTGATTTACAAAGATGAAGATCGCTACACAAATTCAGGAGGAATAATGAAGGATTACATCAAAGCTTTACTAGTTAATAAGATCCCTATACACTACAAGAAAAAACACATTTAGCCACCGAAATTAGTGACCGAATTTTTTCGGTCGCAATTAGCGACCAATTTAATTTTGGTCGCAATTAGCGACCGATTTAGCGACCGATTTAATTTGGTCGCAATTAGTAACCAATTTAGCGACCACTTTAATTCGGTCGCAATTAGCGACCGATTTAGCGACCGAGTTAATTCAGTCGCAATTTAGCAACCGATTTAGCCACTGAAATATGATTTGGTTTCACTTTTTTATTTAGCGACCGAAACAACGACCAATAGTTTGCGTCGCAAAATTTCGGTCGTTAAATCGGTGGCTATTCCGTACTAAAATAAAAAAATCATTTAGCGACCGAATCACAAATTGAAATAGTGACCGAATTAAAATCGGTCGCTAATAAGAAAATAGCGACCGAATTAAAATCGGTCGCTAATAAATATTATTTTTTATTATATTTAAATTTATTTTTTTTATAAATATACTTTAATTGTTTTAATACATTTTTTACAATTTATTTTTTAAAAGTAATTTATTTTTTAAAAATAATTTAATTTTTAAAATATACTTTAAAATAAACTTTGGTCTCAATATTAACAAAATGAAGATTAACTTTAATTTTAAATTACTAAAATAAAAATATTGTTAAAAATAAATCAAATTTATTAAAAATTTAAATTGTAATAAATTAAGACTAGAGTGATATTAACTATTCAATACATTGTTTAAGAAAAGTTTAATAACAAATATTCTTTAATTTATTTTTCAATTGAAAATTTCAATTGAAATTAAATTATATTTTAAAAATTTATATTAAAAAAATTAAACACATCAAATTATCACATTTTAATTCCTCATTAACTTAATTAATTAAAAAATTAAAATTTTAATCAAATTATTACAATTTTATTTTATAATACTTTATTTTTAATCTAATTTTTAAATTTATTGCTTTATTATTATTAATTACTTAATCATGGTTGTTGTCATATAATTGATATACCAAAAAAAATTTATATCAATATACATTAGATAATAAATATATTATTTAATTAAACTATTTATAGAAATATATTTATCTTTAGTTAAAATATTTTTTAGTTTAAGTATACTAATTAATATTTTTCATTTTTAATATAATTAATAAAAAAGATTAAAAATTAAAAATTAATATATTTTATAAATACTAAAAATAAACCATATTTAAATAAATGAAAAATATATTTAAATTTATATTCAACCTAGTTAAGGTTGTGCCTTTTTAAAATTTATATTCAAAATATATTTAAATTTATATTAAAAATAGTTAATATAAATTAAGGTTGTGCCTTTTTTAAATTTTAACTTTTTCATATATTGGATTTTCATTAAAAAAGTTCTAAAATTGCATAAGAAAATAGAGATTTAATTATACTTTTAATAAATTTATGATAATACTAGTTTTTATTTTTATTTTTAAATATTTATTTTAATTTTTTAAAAGAGAGAAACTATAATTTTAGTTTCTAAATACTAAATTTAAAGAATTAAATTTATTATTATTTAATATTTTAATTTTATTATTAAAAATCTAAATTATATTTTATTAAATTAAAATAATTACAATATATTTTTCTACTTGGAGAATTAAAAATATAATTAAACTAAAACTGAAAATATTATAATACATTTTTGAACTCTTTTTTATAATATTTTTATCATTATTATATTTTTGGATTAATTATTTTTTTTCTAATCTTTTATAAAGTCAATTTTAATATTTAAAAGTATTTAACATTTTGAATTCTGAAACTTTTTCTCTATTAACAAATTTAAAAACATAATATACTAAAAAAGTATTATACATAATTATTTCATCCAAATTTTTAATAATATGATAAGTCATCAAATTTGTATATAAAACAAATTTAATGATGGATTAAAATAGAACAATATTTATAAGAGACTATTTATTTTTATTTATGATGGATCAAAAGTGGAAATACATTTAAATTTATAATTTTATTTATGAAACACATTTAAATTTATAATTAACGAAAATAATGAAAATCTTAATATAATATGATACTTTTAGTAATGTATTTTTTTATAAATTTAAACTTACTTTTTTTAGTTTAGTTTTTAAATTGTATGTATTATTATAATATAGTAAAAATGATAGAGTTTAAAAACAATGTAGAATGTGAGAAGTTTAAAAAGAAAAAAAAAGTTAAAAAAGGATATATATATATATATATATATATATATATATATATATATAAATGTAATTGGATTAAATTTATTATCCCCTCATATTATTATACATTATTAGCGTAATTTTAGTTTAATTAAAAAATAGAATACAAATATATTATACTATACTAATATACCATTATATTATTTTCATTATATATAAATTACAAAACTAATAATTTTTAAAAAATTTAATGATAATTTTTTTAACTTATATATTACAAAATATTTTTTAATACTTTAATAAATATAACTTTTTTTAAATATTTTCATTAATTTAAAGTATAACTTTCAATATTTTTTAGTATTTTTTTAAATGTGGATATCTTTAATATTTTGGACATATAAATATAATTTATACATGTTTTTAAACCTTTTTCTAATATTTGTTTTTAAAAATATAATATCATTCTTAATATTTTATAGATTTTATATTTATATATTTATAAAAGTAATTGGATTAAATTTATTATCCCCTCATATATTATTATACATTATTAGCGTAATTTTAGTTTAATTAAAAATTAGAATACAAATATACTATACTATACTAATATACCATTATATTATTTTCATTGTATATAAATTACAAAACTAATAATTTTTAAAAATTTTAATGATAATTTTTTTAACTTATATATTACAAAATATTTTTTAATACTTTAATAAATATAACTTTTTTTAAATATTTTCATTAATTTAAAGTATAACTTTTAATATGTTTTAGTATTTGTTTAAATGTGGATATCTTTAATATTTTGGACATATATATATAATTTATACATGTTTTTAAACCTTTTTCTAATATTTGTTTTTAAAAATATAATATCATTCTTAATATTTTATAGATTTTATATTTTATATTTTTTAATATATATTTGAGAAATTAATCAATTATAATCTATAATTTGAAAAACTAATCAATTCTAATCAATTATTTAAAAAACTAATCGATTATAATTAATTATTTGAAAAAGTTATCGAATATAATCGATTATTTGAAAATTTAATCGATCATAATGAAATTGACCAGAGACTTTAGATAGCGGTTCTAGAACTAACCGCTATTAAAAATATAGTTTAGATAGCGGTTACACGTGGAACAGCTATCATATGGTCACTTTTAAGAGCGGTTAAAGTGGAACCGCTATCATATATGTGTCACTGTCACTTTTAAGAGCGGTTAACATTTAAATATATAAATATATCAAAATATAAATATTTAAATATATAAATATATAAATATATAAATATATATATATATATATATATATATCAATATTATCCCCTCATATATTATTATACATTATTAGCGTAATTTTAGTTTAATTAAAAATTAGAATACAAATATATTATATTATATTAATATACCATTAAGTTATAATATTTGTAATTTATTTTTATTGTGTATAAATTACAAAACTAATAATTTTTAAAAAATTTAATGATATTTTTTTAATTTATATATTACAAAATATTTTTTAATACTTTAATAAATATAACTTTTTAAAAATATTTTCATCAATTTAAAGTATAATTTTTAATATTTTTTAGTGTTTTTTTAAATGTGGATATCTTTAATATTTTGGACATATAAATATAATTTATATATGTTTTTAAACCTTTTTCTAATATTTAATTTTAAAAATATAATATCATTTTTAATATTTTATAGATTTTATATTTATATATTTATAAAAGTAATTGGATTAAATTTATTATCCCCTCATATATTATTATACATTATTAGCATAATTTTAATTTAATTAAAAATTAGAATACAAATATACTATACTATACTAATATACCATTATATTATTTTCATTGTATATAAATTACAAAATTAATAATTTGTATACTATACTATACTAATATATAATTTGTATACTATACTAATAGTATAATATACTATATTATAATATTATTTGTATACAAAACTAATATCTTTATATATAAATATGGAAAGATATAAATATATGTAAAAATATAAAGATATAAATATATCAATATATAAATATATCAATATTTAAATATATCAATGTATAAATATAACAATATTAAAATATATAAATTTATTTTTATTTATACATTTTATATTTATATATTTATACGGATATATATTTATTTGTATATAAATATAATTTATTTGTAAGTTATTATTAAAAAATTCTAGTAGCTCGATGGTTGGAGTTTCGACCTCCAACACTAAGGTGCACGGGTTTGAATCCTGACAATAACAATAAATAGGGAAATAAATTAAAAATCTAAATAAATAAAAATAATTAACTTTGTTATTTATTTAATGACCGATTTAAATTGGTTGCTATTTTTTTAACTTTGTTATTGATTTAGCGACCGATCTAAATCGGTCGCTATTTTTTTAACTTTGTCACCGATTTAGCGACCAATTGGATATATTAATTTCGATCGCTATTTTGCGACCGAAATAAAATCGGTCGCTAACACATTAGCGACTTGGCTTTTTGCGACGACGCTTTTGGTCGCTAATTTCGGTCGCTAAGCTGATTAGCGACCGATTTTTTGACATTAGCGACCGATTTTTTGGTTGCTAAAATGAATTTTTCTTGTAGTGATATAAATTAGCGAAAAGCTTATATCTTTTATTTATTATTGTTGAATTTCTTGAATTTATCTAATCTTACATGATGCTTTGTCTTTTAATTATCATATTTTTAAAAAGTATCAATTGAAAATAATTAATCAAAATACTTTGTTTTGGTGAGTAAACTATCATTATACATATAAAACAATTACCGTTTTTTTTTGTGAGTACA